CTGTGGTCTCCAAGTTCATCCAGCAGAACGGCAGCCAGAGGTCAGAACCAGCTCCGCATCCTGCAAGCTGGTATCACCCTATTTCTGTGAAGTATAAAGATGTTCCTATTGTTCCATAGGGGCATTCATTATTCTCTTTGTCACACCTCCAAAACTGAGAACGTTTAGTCTTCACAGACACGCGGAAGAGAAAGATTTTGACTCTCTTAGGACAATCTCTACGCTCTCTACGCTGCAGAAATACAATGGACATTCTTCTTACTGCAAAACTGACCCCCCAAAAAAACTACTTTTTCTTCATAAACTAATCATCAGAGCACTTACGTTTGCTTTTAGATCAATTGCTAGCGACTTCTTTCATCACAAATAAATTATTTCATTACAAATAAATGGGGGAAAAATTAAAGCCCACATGATGATACTGTGTACAGCAATTAACCATTAGTAATGTGAAAGAAGCATATTGTACAATTTATAAAAATAAGATGCTAACACTACAGGCAGTATGCGCCATGGCAGAGCAAAGGATTTTTTACACACACAATTAAGAGAAAAAGCGTTGATCTCTATTTTAGCTAAATCTGTCACATATCTCTGCCGATCATTCCCCATTGTACTTTCCTCAAATACGAACTTTAACGAGCACATGGGTGATACAGCAGTTGTTTGACTGTCTGCGATCTCTAACTTTTTGCCAATATGAAAACTCCATAATGCTGGCAGGAAATTTAACATGTTTTTCAGGACATTCATTTCTTTCAAACTCATAGTAGCTTAATGTGCTCTGTGATCTAACTCCTTGCAACTCAAGGTGTGGCTGACAGCCTGGCCACCGCTGCATTACTGGGAATTTGCTAGAAATGTAGAATACCAGGCTGATTCCAGCCTAGAGCTGGAATATCAGAGTGTGTTAACCGGATTTCCAGGAGACGTGAACGTGTAGTAAAGTTTCAAAGGCACTGGCTTATCTCACAATTTCTGAGTCAGTTTGGGGCCTCAAACTACACTTACGTGGTCCAGAAGCCACATTTGTAAAACCTCCCTTCTCAGGGTCACTCAGGTGCTTTTGAATCAAGGTAAAACCCACCTCAATAATCTTTTGTCATCAACGCTTCATTGCCCCAAGAGAGGGAATATAACAGTCCTGAAGACTGCCGAGATGCAGCGGTAACAATCATATATTTATTGTTTCAGGTCTTCCCAAAGATACTTGAGTTTGGAAGACAACTGACTGACGATCTCAGCAGCCGCCTGGAGGCACAGACTGTTGAAACTGGGCTTTATGAAGCAGCATCGGGGAGTCTCACCTGTACTAGGCCCTCCCCTGTCTAGAAACTGCTGTTCTCGCTGGGAATCGAAAGCAGCCAGCTTCCAGGTGAAGACTTAGGCACTGCCTCGTTTATTATTCTGTGCTCTGAGGATCTCGGACTTCACTGAAGGCTGCTCAAACAAACCCAAGTCATGAATGGAATCCAGTTTTACCTGACAGACTTTCAATCCTTTATGATTCCCCAAATAATTACAGAAAGCAGCACCCTTACTGGTGTTTTCTGATACCTTGTGTCTAAGTCCTGCTTACCAGAAGAGGCCCTTTTCTTCTCACCTAGCTAAGTGGTCATCCATCCATCCACATGAACAGAAGGGAAGCAAACAGACAGATCTGGTAGAAATCAACAGTGACCAACAGGGACAGTCGCAGGCTGGTGATTCCCTGATTATTCAACGGGAAATACAGTAGGTTTCCAAACATCTTTATATCTTCATGGGGAGAACACTTAAGGAAAGAAAATCACAGCCACAAAATTTCCTTAAGAGGGATTCTAAGTATTCCAGTCCTTCTATTATCTGTCCTTATACAGAGCCAGCAAAAAGACTGTCACCAAGTAGGGTGTGAAGAGAGTAACAACCATCACTCATTTTGAAGTAAATTTGTGCCCATGGAATAAACATGTTACTGTCTTTTTTGTTTTGCTGTTCTTTGTTGTTGATGCTCAGTGAAAGTGGGATGTAAAGTCTAGACAATGGAAGAAAGGACAACAAATTCAAGAAAGCCAATCCCGGTGGTTTATGTCTCACTGGGAAAGAAACGATTTTAACAGACACTATGACAGTTAAGGGCTGCTCTGGACCAAACAGTTTTGACTTCGGAGATTGACTTTGAAAGCATTTAAAGACAAGAGGCACACAGAACCTTTCATGCTTGTTGTTTGTATTTAACAATATAAACCAAAATGTTCATTCCTGAAAGATAAGAAAGATCCACTATCAGCCATTCATTCCATAATCACTTGATTCTTTTCTTCTTATTTTAAATTCAGTTGGGCAAAAAAGAATATTTTCTCCTAAGAGAGATGCAAAAAACATTTTTTTTTTAAACATACGGTTTCGAGTGTCAAGGTAAGTATTTCGGAGAAGTCCCAGATACAGATTTATGTTTCCAAAACGGATGGCAGTGCCTAAAATTCACTTAGGGGACTTTGGACTCGCAGTCATCTCCATCAAAGCTCAGGTCTGCATCGCAACAAAGAAATCTTAAAGTCCATGCAGTGGATGTTCTAATTAGGCGGCTGTACCTTAAGACAGGTCTCCTAGCCAGATTGAAATTCTAGCGTTATTTTCATACAGATATTCACAGGCTGCCTGTCCAAAAGCATTGTGCAGGCGCCATTGCCTTTCCTATCACTATGGGGAGTGCACTACATAGACGGCTAAAGACTAGGATACTGGATTGCCTGGGCTTGAACATCAGCCTCTTTACTGCTTAGCGGGAGACCTGAAATATGAACCTAAAAGTCATTGTTACTGCCAGGGAATCAGAGGACCCCAACTTCATAGGATGCTAAAAGGACCGAGCAAGGCAGCGTCCACCCAGCACCTGACAGATCAGAGCCACAGGTGAGTATCTATCAAGTAGCTCCCTGGACAAACCTTCCTCTTGCTTTGCTCTAATTCAAAACGCCTGATCTTTTATGGTCTCCCTTTAGGTAGAAAAGATAAAAAATGGCTGAATAATACAATGCTCATTGTAATAACAATGGGATTATATTTTGAGGAGCAGTAATACATCCCTGAATGCAGGAAGTTTTTATTACACAAGTGATTGGGAGGGCACTCCCCAGGAGAGTCATAGTCTTCCAGGAGTCTGTGCTCTCTCCTTTCAGTTTGCCAGGTCCTGGATCTGGGCAGAGGGTACATGCTTTAGATTCTTTCAGTTCCGCCCTCCTTTCTTTATGCCACATCTCAGCAAGGGAGTGGAGCAAGAAGGATTTTGTTGCCTACGCCAAGCTGCTATAACAACATCACTGCCAAAATAGCTGGATCTCCGCAGGAGTCAGAATGGCCTCTTACAGAAACTACATCATTCTGCTCTCAGCACAGCCTCTGTGGTGGGTCAAAGGGTCTAGCTGGACAGCCAGGGAACCCCACAGCCACGGAGCTAAGGCCACGGAGTGGGGGGATCGCACATGTGTCAGAAATCACTGAGTTCCTCAGATGCACGGGATTCCAACTGGTGCACTTCAGATCTTCTGAAGACTTCTCTCAGGCTAAGGCAACAAAATGATTCCCTGATGCTGGGTTACAGGGTTATGCGAATCTGCTTCGTGGAGTCGAGTTCTTTCCCTAAATCATAAGCATTTCAGGGATGATGGTACAGTACAAAGAATATTGCTTGGTTTAAAAACTGTAAGCCTGCCATCTTGAAGAAAGCAGGAACTGAAAAATTAGATTGAGAGAGAATATTCAAGCAGAAAATGGCCAGAGTGTGTGTCACAAACAGAACTCTGACTTCAGCCTCTGGGGCAACCAGTCTAAGCCGCCAAGCCACAGTCTTGGCAGTGGTCAGCTGAGAATGGTCAGGCCTTGGTTAATCACTGGGAGCTTGGTTTTTTTTTTTTTCTTTATTTTCTTTTCCTCTACTTCCAACTCAGGACCAGCCAACCAAACCATAGTAATACAGATATATTCCTTCATTCACCTAAGGTGCTATTATAATTAACCTGTTTTCAGTTTCTCAAGCCAACAAAGCCCCCTCAGAACATAGTCTTTCCTTTTTGCACAAAACCTTCCACCGAGTCCCTGGCAAAGACAATGATGGTGGCTCTCTCTCTCTCTCTCTCTCCCTCTCTCTCTCTCTCTCTCTCCCCCCCCTTTAGCAAATTAAATACATAACCTTTGTTTGTTCTCGTTTGGGTGGTCTTTGCTCATTTCCATGACCTCCAAGCAAGATCATATTTTATGATTTGCAATGTTAAGAACCATGGAAACTTAAGAAATGCAACACCATCCTAGAGGCCCCTGAGCAACCCTAAAATCTGCCTGAAATGTGCCCTTTACAAACGTCATCCTCACCAAACTGCTTTCCAGCGACCGACCTCCCTTCACCTCACCGCTCCAACCATAACAAAGCTGACCAACCATCCTGGTTTGTCCCAGACTGCTTCGTTTCTGGAAATCCTACCTGGTAGGAAATGCTGGCAGCCCTGGGGAACTAGCACAGTCCTTCACTTTGTAAGACTCTACAACCTGCCCTGTCATTCCATCCCTCAGGAATTCCGAGCGGAAGTTCCACACACTCTGCCAACAAGGTCCTTTTCTCTCGTCAGTGGAATGGACTCCCCTCAATCTTCCAAGCCTTCTTAAATGTCTCTTCCTGGGCAAAGCGTCTTTGTTAACATCCCAATTCCAAGCAGCATTCCATGCTCTCCTGCAGGCCACACTGCCGTGTAACCCTATCCAGGACATGAATAAGGCAGCTATGGTGTTTAGAAGCCACAATACAATGACTTCCTGCAGGGCACCTACTGTCACCACCACACCAAAATAGCGCTTATGTGATAAGTAAACAAATTAGCAGATGATTAAATATTAATTAATGACTCCATTAAATAAACAAAACAACCTGAAGGGTCCAGATCGAGACGAAGATACAGCTTAGAGCCTGGGCACCTTACACTGAATTTGTGTTTAACCCATCTCAGTTACCCCGATGGATTGTCTACCTCGATCTGGGTGGTGTTGTCCTGCCCGTCATCCAGCACCAGGTCAGTGAAGCCCCTGGGATCTGGGGCGTCTTGGCCCATGCTTGCTCGGTTTGTATCCACTGCCTTGAGAGCCTCCAAGCTCCTCCTCCACCTGTGGCTGTAAGCATGTGAGTCCACTTTTACCTCCTCTTCTGTCGGAGGGAAGGCCTGAGCCACGTCATACCTCCAATCTGCAGAAGAAACGAAATCCTGTTAGGAGCTTGGTGTGACTCATACTCATCATTTCCACAACAGAGGAAAACGGGACTGCAGGTCACGAGCATAGAACACTCATCACAGCGGAACCAGGTTATGTGTGGTATTTTGAGTCTATCTGAGCATCTCTGAGTAGAATGCAATACATTTTGTGGCAATGGTTGATGTGTAGATTTCACACAGGTGCCCACACCGACAATAATGCACTTTGCTTTTCTCTTCTCACCCCTTGCTTGCACACACACACACACACACACACACACACACACACACCATAAACATTCTTCTAGCTGTTGTGCAAAAGGAAGCAAGGACCCAAGCAAAGCAATCAAACCAAGGGATCGTTAGCTCAGCTGAAAACACAAATCAGATACTTTTACAGGGCAAGCTGATATTCATTTCACACGAATTATGCTGGGCTGCAAAGACACGAGTGCACTTGAACCGGTTAAATCACACGTGGAGCTATCTTCCTGTAAATGTGCTAACCAACCTCGGAGTTTCCAAGGCAGCCTTAGCTCATCACCTAACTCATCTAATAAGCAGCAACCCAGGAGACATCACAAGCGCTCTTGTTCATTTGTGCTGTTCTCACCTTGGGATCTTGTCAGGGTGGCAAAGGATGACAGTGACGGGCACTTACAGAAATGGATGGGACAGCAAGGAGATCAAATCACCAAGGTATGTGAAAGCCATCTGCAGGGACTGGCCCTGCTGACCCATCTCATGCTGCCACCGAGGGAGGGAAAATCAGATTTAATCATGACTCCTAGTCTTTCGTTTCAGCAGGTCAACAGGGGAAGATGTACCTCGAGGATTGAAAATTCAGTTTTTGAGCAAGAAGAACAACCGTCTTCTACCCCATCATCATCAAGATATGACTGGACTGGCTTTATAACTGGCCAGCAATGGGATCATAAAAGGCTAAAAGAACAGTGATTTGATTATGGCCAGGATGTTCCATTAATACAAGGACATATTCGAAGAAACCAGAATGTGTTCAAAGGAGTTTCTAATACCATTGTATTAGAAACTTAAAAGTACAGAAACTAACTAAAGGCTACTGCTACTAACCACAGGCAAAACTGCCTAAAATATATTCTTTTCAACTCACAAAGGTGCTAGTAATAGGAGGAGAGGGCAGATTTGGTTTTGCAGGGAGCCTAACTGGTCCTCAGAGCCTGATACTTTTGTAGATAGAGTTCTGAGAAAGACACCTAACCTTAAAAAGGATCATAGGGACACAAATAACCAGAACTCTATAGAAGAAAGCCAGGGGCCAGGGACATGCAGAATTGTGCCCCATTCACTGAATCTTAGGCCAAATAAAATCCATGTACAAAAAAGGGTCACCTGTGGTCCCCTAGTCCTGAACACATCTAATCAAATCAGCATTGTCATCATCACTTTGGAAAATGTTTCAACACTCTTGTCCCTCTTGTATGTCCACTGTCTGAGGGAATGAGGGAAAGAATGAGTGAACTGCTTGCTGACAGCCTCTTTGAAGCAAGGATCACAGGGTCAGACGCAGTTTCTGCACAAAGATTCAAGGACGTGGGCTGCAATTTTTCTGTTTACACTTGCTGGTGGTAGGAACCAGCACAACTCACAAAAGTCTCTGTGCTTAGTTTAGGCCATATTTTAAATGGAAATGAAAATATCTTGCCTGAAAGAGCAGACAGCTTTGCCTAAGAATGTGTCAGGCTCTAAGACCTATGATGGTAGGCAAAGCTGCATAAAGCAATTTTATTTGCTTTATTTATATGTCTTGCCTCATTATCAAAAATATATGAGGTAGCTTCCAACAAAGGTGAGCAATAAAATTTTATAACAACCAGATAAAACCTCCTAGCACAAAACTTAGGTCAACTCAAGAGAGGAGTGCGTGCTGGCATGTGGGGTGTGGCAAACCGTATTACGGTGAACAGCGAGAGTTTGGGAGGAGGGGAGTGAAACTCTAGACAGGAGCCTGTTAGAAGGACGATACTGTAAGAAATGGTGACATAGGTCATGCGGTACATGGATTAAATGGACCCAGATAGAGAAATGGCTTTAAAAAAATATATACAAAAAGACAGGCTTCCAACAGAGAAACATCAGTGCTTTAAAATATAAATCAGGTAAAAACATATAAAACGTCAAAGAATTTGTCTTTATTAAAGACATCAAACTTTCAAGCAATTCTTCCTTCTCCCTTCCTCCCTTCCTTTCTTCCTTCCTTTCCTTCCTCTCTGCCATCTTTCCTTCTATTGTTTGTTTTATGTTGTTACAAAATCTGATCATGTTACCAAGGCTGGTCTCAAACTCTTGGGTTCATGAGATCTTCCAGCCTCAGCTTCCTGAGTAGCTGAAACTGCAGGTAAGCACCACCATATTCAACCTCTTAGTTTTTTTGATTGTTTTGTTTCATTTCTCTACCATTGACTTTACCATTTTCTCTTTAGCTATGTATAACACTGGACAAAATATACTTCCCTTGTAGTCAGCAGACCAGGAGCCCTAGAATAGCTCCCCGAATCCTGCACAGGACAAGGGCAGACAGAATGACTAAGAGAGAGACTTTTGTGTAGGATTCTATCCTCAACTTCCTCAAATTCCCTTTTCCACGCCTCCTCTTTGCCCTTTAACCTAGAGAACAAATGCAAAGGAGTTTCAAAACTTAGGAACGATGATGTTCATATTGCACTTTCAGGATGACAACTGAGAATTCTGATGAATGTGTCCAGCTCATTTTTAGCGAAAGCGTCAGAGATAAACTCAGCACACAGGTGGGCCTCTTGTGTAAAACACAGACCCATGCTTACTGTGGCAGTTACAGGACCAAGTCTCTAGACAGCCAGCAGCTGTTTCTTTCTAGTCATGTTGTTGAGCAATATTTTCTGATTTTTGTCACTTTTAATCTGTTTCTTTTTATCCCGTATATCAATTTTCCATAGAGGAGGCCCCCACCCATGCACACAGCTGACAGGATCCTGCCTGGGCAGCTGTCCCACTGATGCCACAATGGCCCTCTGTCCCCTCTCTTCTTTTATCCTCCTTGTTCCTCCTACAATCTGCTCCCTCAAACTCTGAAAACCAATGATTTGTTCCCTCTAATTGTGTTTACTGAGAGTAAACAGGATCTCAGGAAGGCCTGAGAGGTTTTCTAATGAGAACATTTGTGAGTCTGAGGCTGGGCCACTGGAGATATATCCCTTGGGCTGCCCTTTGCAACTTCATTGTTTGTCTCTGGTTATGTCATGAATGAGCAAGCTTTACACCTGTGCGTAAAGAAAACATGACCACATGGTCATCGTTCAGGAGTACATGGTTCATCAAGACTGAAGGATGAAACCAGCTTAGTCTCTGATCCCATTCCTAAATGATCTTTGGAGAAGATAAAACGAATCGAAATGAATGTTTCATGGAAACAAAGACTGGAAAAACCATAGCTTGGGCATAATTGTACATTATTCTTCCATGTTTCATGGGCTATCAAACTCATAATACAAATATTTTAAATTATTCTTTAAGGTGGCAACAGAACACATCACTCAGAGGGAAGATGTAGAGTTAGAAGGGATCTCATTTTTCTCTTCCCAGCTGTAGTGAAAACAAAAGCAACAGGAGGGAAACTCTGAATAATCTGCTTGAACAGATTGTTTGTTTTCTGCCTACTGTATGTTAATTAAACTACAGACAGAAAACATTCAAAGATAATTTCCTCCAATGTATTTGGTTATATGAATTAATCAGCTAGCTCACAGAAACATAACGTGTATTTAATGATTTCCATTTGGATATTAAAAAAGCTTAAAAATATGCATATCTGTACCTAAAATCTATAAATTGATCTTAACACATCCTTAAAATAGTGTTTGATTAAAATAGCAGGTACATTTTTACTGAAGAAGATACTTCATTATTTTTTCAACATTATGAAATCCCATAATATCCAGTTAATTTGAGAGGAGACCAAGGAACTCATGTAGATGTTCACATTATTATTTTGTAAACCTTGAAATCTCTTTTGTGTCATCATATATGATAAAACAAAATAAAGCAAAAGGAAAGAAGGGCTAGGGATTTGGCTCAGTGGTTCCGCCACCTCCCTCACAAGCACAAGGTCCTGAGTTCAATCCCTGATACATAAAACAATAAATAAAATTGTACCGAGCAGGGTTTATTTATTTTACATCATATCCTAATTATTTTTATTTAAATATCTCATATTGAACCATAATTATGTATTGCAACCATTTAAGCCCATTTATTGACCCTTGCAGATAAACCCTACACACCATAAATACTTGGCAAACCACCAAAACAGAAATGCATATGTTGACATGCAACTGATACAATTAGAATCCATGACCACTGTACCTCTGGACACCAACTTCCTCATTTTACTTGTGAACAAAATCACCACTGTGAATCCTCTGTAGGATTATTCACACTCTTACCGGCAAGCAAACTTGCTGGCTAGATTCATCTGAAAGTAGAAAATATTTGGCTCAGGAGACTGCCATATGGCTTTGCATCTCAGTTTATTACAGAACTGAAGAGGAAATTCTGTAAAAATATTTAAATCCTTGGTAATGTCCAATAATAAACTGACTACCCCAACTGATTTGGAGGTTTTCTTTTTTTTCTTTTTCTCTCTTTGAGTTTATTGGTACATTTTAGGTATACAGTATAGTTACATTCATCACTGGGATCTTGTGCCTTTACATGACAGGTCTTGGTTCTCATTTTATCCCCCATACCCCTGTCCTCCCTTCACCCCCTCCTCCCTTCCCTATTTACAAATACTTTATTTCCATATTTTCATTTTCTCCTATTTTTTCCTTATTACCTTTCCCCTCCCCTATCCACTTCCCCTACACCATTAGCCCTTTTCTTCCTATCTCACATTGTCAATTATATCATTAGGATCTTAGGTACTATTATAGTTTATTCACATCAGAGAAACTATTCAGTATCTACACGTGTGACT